AGATCATGATCTTGGTGATCGGTAATCGGTGATCGGCCCCAAAAATGCTGATCGGAGCATCTCTAATTTAGACAATGATAGACAGTAACAGTAATTATTATTATATAATAAAATATATTTAAAAATAAAGATTTTTTATAATTTTAATATTAATAATAAACCATTAATACATTTAATTATAATAATATTGTTGTGCCGAGCGGGGACGGGACGGAACGGAGACAAAGGTGCAGACGTCAGGGTATCGGGGAATACGGGGTTTAATTACAGGTAAGGCAGGCAAAACGCAGACGGACAATACAATGACCGGACTGGGGAAACAAACTGAAACATTGACTAAATACAGAGGACTAATGACAACAACCAGAAACAGCTGATCACATGGGGATTCCACACGGGGTTATTTCTTTTTTTTTTTTACTTTACACATTGTTTGGATACATTTATTTTCTTACTTTGCAAATTACTGTTTTGATAAATGTACAGTATATGGTCTTTTTTCCAGTTTTATCCTGTTCATTTTGTTTTTAAATGCTAAAAAAAAAAACATTTAGGTGTAATTGTTTGGGGCCGGGAGCCAATTAATTGGTTTTCCATTATTTCTTATGGGGAAAATTTGATCACAACTCCAACTTTTTAGGATTCGATCCGGAGTTCTGAACGGATTAAATTAGAGTTCTGAGGTATCACTGTATTGTGTACAGTTACTTTGGCAGTTGTTTCCGGGATTTAAAAGGACACAAATTAGGCACACCATCAGGGTGTTGTATTAAAATGACATTGCATGAGAACGATAACTTTGAAAATCTTTTGCCTGGTTTGGAGAGGCTGTCCGGGTACACCAACCATATACACTAAGTATATGGTTTTTCTTGTAGAAGTAATTTTTTTATTGGAGGTAGGATTGAGAATTTTGATATGATTAAAAATTGTATGAAAAACCTCCAAAGGTGGGATTTCCGGTGACTTCAGGTTCTTGTTCCATCCAGGTCCAAGAAGCTGTCAGTCCCTGCCTCGGTTGTCTCACGGATCATGGGCCGAGGTGGTTGCAACATCACTGCCATCCAGGATGTGACGGGTGCCCATATCGACGTGGACAAGCAGAAGGACAAGAATGGGGAGAGGATGATCACCATAAGGCATGACCTCCGTGCCGTATTCTCTAGCTCTGTGTGGCTCCCCAGGACCTCTCAAGCTGGTTTGACATTGTGTTGTGTTACAGGGGTGGGACTGAGTCCACGCGGCATGCTGTGCAGCTCATCAATGCCCTGATCCAGGACCCTGCTAAGGAGCTGGAAGACCTGATCCCCCGTAATCATATCCGAGTCCCAGGAACCAACAGCAAGGTCGGCTCTGGTTTTAGCGCCTCTATCGGTATGGCCGGTACCTCTACATCCATCCCCAAGAGCCTTGCATCCATGGGCTCATCAACGGCTACATCGTTCCCACCTTCTTCGTCATCTACGCTGCAGCCTAATGGGAAGCTGGGAAAGGGCTTGTCATCAGGGGTGAGGCCCCCATTCCCCGTCTCGCTACCCCTGGCATATGCTCACCCGCAGCTCGCCCTACTGGCCGCTCAAACTATGCACCAGATCCGACACCCACGTCTGCCCATTCCCCAGTTCGGTGGCTCCTTTTCCCCAGCACCCAACACCTGGGGCCCCTTTCCAGTGCGACCCGTGAGCCCAGGCAGTGCTAACAGTTCTCCTAAACACAAAGGGAACCCAACCCCGAGGACTGGTGCCACCCACGAGTTTGCGGCCCCTGGCAGCAATGCTACCACACGGACCACAACCACGTCCACGCCATGCTCTAGTACCACACTGGCTCAACCTAATGCACCCACGTCTTCTTCAGTAAGGAAGCAGCTGTTCGCCTCTGAGCCCAAGACAGGGAATGTCATCCCTCCTGGCGCTAACAGTGCCTGCACTGTGAGAGCCATAGGGACCGCTGGCCAGCCACATTGCGCTGCTCCTGTCACGCCTTCCAGCCCTCCCCCACCCCCTCCCATTGGACCACCTGCACAGCAGCAAGTCCTGGGCCCACGGGCTGAGCCATGCCCCCCCACAGCCACCCCCAGCAAGGAGAGGCACTTCCTGGACCCACATGCACCTGTGTCCAGCAGTGTCACCTCCACCGGCTCCCTGCCTTTTCCTGCTTCTCCTTCGGCCCTGAATCTGCAACTAGAGTCCCGGCAGCAGCCCCCGTTCCCCCCAACTGCAGATCTATTACCTGCCGGGGTCCAGCCTGGCTCCACCCTCCCCTCGTCCTGCCCCACCCCCACCTGTGCCAGCACCATCACAGTTACGAGTAACACCTTACCTCAGTTGTCAGCTACGGCTCCTCGCTCATCTAAGATGCAGTTGGCAGGACCTTTCTTCCCCCTGGCTGAGCAGCCACCCGTGCTGATGCCCATAAGTGTGCCGCAGGAGCCCTCCAAGCTGCTACAGCCCAGCACGGCCCCTGCCCTGCCACAGGTGTCCTCAGCTGTCAGCGTGATGAACGGCTCCCAGGTGCATGTCCCTGGTACTAAGGCCCAGCTGCATGCCAGCTTCAGCACCGCCACGCTCCTCACACACTTCAGTAGCATGTTCGACAGCGGCCAGGTGGGCACCAACCAGGTGTGGGGCGCCTGCCACCTGCCGACTCGCAGCCTGCCTGAGCAGGCCTACAATGCCCCGCCCGCCTACGTAGGGAACGTCAGCCAGCCGGAGAGTACGGCGCCCCTGCCTGATGGCTCCAAGGCCCCTGGCTACCGCTCCGCCTCACAGAGGATCGTCTCCAGTCCAATAGGTGAGATGTTTTCTGACTGACTCTTTAATAGAGAATCAGAGAATCTAGGAGTCAGAAATCCATCTGAAAAGTATAGAATTACACACGTTTATCAGCTGACAGCTAGGTGTGGCCTGAGTTCAACCCCTAAAACACCGGACTGTAGTTTGAACCCTGTCTCCTGCTGGTCTGTGATTCGCCTCCCAGCCGTCCAGTCGGTGGACCCCTTGGGACCCTCCTCTGTCTCCTCATCCCCTGCAGCGCTGACCAGTTTCGCCGCAAGCATATCGGCCAGTCCTGTGTTCCTGCAGGGCCCCGCCCCCCTGTGCACGCCCTCCCTCAGCCGCCAGCACTTCTCCCCCCACCCATGGAGTGCCTCCACCTCTTGTACGTAAACTTCGCAACACCCGCATCCCATCTGGGGTGGAGGCCAGCTCATATCTCAGTGTTTGGCCACTGGACTTTAATAACTGAGGCTAAATAGATTTTGAATTTGGTTGCTGTCAGGTCCTTGTGGTGTTGTAGTGGATGTGAGTAAAACTTGAAGCATTATGGTTTATCAGAGATGAAAAGGCTTTCAGCATGAGCGATTCATGTGTAGTATCAGAGGACGTGAACCTGCTTTTTCCCGCTTTGTCCCCGTGTTTATCACTTTGCCTACTCTGCACCACAGGCGAGTCCCCAGCACCCTCCGCTTCTTCAGGCACCTCCTCCCCGCTCTCGGCATCCACGACCGTAGCCCCACTGGTGCAGGCCAAGCCCAATATCTCGAGCCAGCAGGACCGCAAGGTGCCCCCACCCATTGGCACAGAGCGCCTGGCCCGCATCCGTCAGACAGGCTCCATCAACCCGACGCTGCTCACCACCAGCTACTCCGCGCCCGTCGGCCAAGGGGGCATCTGGTCTTTTGGCGTTAGTAGTGCTTCCGGTAGGTGGGGGAAGGTAGATGAGTGGGGCAATCTGTCATGTATGTTGGCACGCTGTGCTCACATTTAAAGGGGAAATCCACCCAGAAATCAAGTATGTTGTTTTTTCCACAGTAGGAATCCATATGTAAAAGAAAATGTGGTGCCGGGAATTTTAACATAAAAGTTACACCAACTCATGTCATTGACCCATTCCTGTTCCCTCTGGAGTCGGGACAGAATAATTAGTTTAAAGTAATTAGAGGTGCTGATTCTTGTTTTTTTAATCTGTGGAAAACGGTGGATCAGCTGGTCAGATTTAATTATGATTCAAAAACATGTCACAGGTGGTCTAGTACTGTTTAAAGCTGTTGTTCACAAACTTTACACTACATACCATCAAGGTATGCTCTCCACGTACCACCATTATATTATGCTTGATCATCAAGAACAGAATACTGGGTAAGAGTTTGTTTTCACTTCACAGGGGTTAATAATAATGACACTTAATTGATCCCTGTGGGGAAATTCTCTTTTTGCCTACCCCATCTTACTCTCCATGACACACATGTAGGTGAGAGCAAGCTTAGCAGCACAGGGCAGCCACCTACAGCAGTGCCCATGGAGATGGGATTAAAGGCCTCGCTCAGCTTTGCACAGACGTGACTATTCTGCTGAGACCGCGCTCAAACCAGCGACCTTCTGATCACAGGCACAGAGGCTTAGCCCACTGAGCCACACGCTGCCAATTGTCATACTATTCAGTTTATATATGTTTAATTGGATTACTAGCATTGTCTGAACCTGGTTTCACACATCCTTGTGAGAGTTTAGTGGAGCACAGTTTGCAGTCCACTATGGTTTGGTTGTCATTGTTACTTTTGAAGTACTTCCACAACGCATTTATTTTCTTCAAGTACTTTGTATCGGTCTTAGGCATCAGTGCATTGTTATGAGTACATGAGCACATAAATGCATCCCTACAATTATCCATCCATCCATCCATTGTCCAAGCCGCTTATCCCAGACCCTCTGCTTATCACGGGGGGTCCGGAGCCTATCCCGGAAGCAACGGGCATGAGGCAGGGAACAACCCTGGATGGGGGGCCAGCCCATCGCAGTCCATACAATTAAAACACATTTTTTTCCTACTAAAATAAGTTAGGATGGAATCTTGCTGCAGCAAATATATTCAATAAAATTTTTATGTAGCGCCTTTCACAACAGCGGCATCCCGAACATAGGCTGGTAAGACATTCCACAATATAGGGCCCCTGTAGCAGAATGCTTTACCACCCACTCTCACTTTATATGTGGAACGACAAGGAAACTGCATTCTGTGACCCCAGTGGACGATGCAGCTTATAAACTTGAAGTAATTCTGTCAGGTAGGCAGGAGCTAGACATTTAAGTGCCTTTTATGTAAGTAGGAGAACTTTGAAGTCAGCTCTAAACCTTACGGGAAGCCAATGCAGGGAACTAAGAACAGGGGTTATGTGTTCAAACTTCCTGCTCCCAGTGACAATTCGAGCTGCTGCATTTTGAGTACGCTGCAAGGTGTTTAATGTGCAGTGTGTGCTCCCAGATAACAGAGCATTACAGTGGTCTAACCTACTGTATACAAAGGTGTGTATCAATTTCTCTGTGTCTTGAATAGTAAGAAATTGTCACAGTTTGGCGATTTAGCATAGCTGTAGGAAGCACGCCTTCGATACTGTACTTACATGTGATTTAAATGGGAGGCTTGTATCTAAGATGACACCCACGTTACGGGCTGAGCTGCTGAGGGAAAAGTTCAGCCCTTTTGAGTGGAGTGTGGGGATTATAAAATCCCTATCTGTAGACCTGCCTCCAAACAACAGAACCTCTGTTTTCTGAGCATTTAGTGATAAAAATCCAGGTTTTTACTTTGTTAAAGCAATTAGCTAAGGTGACAATAGGTGTGGTGTCGTTCGGCGTAACCAAAATGTATATTTGGGTGTCGTTGGCATAGGAGTGATAGCTAACATTGGGCCTCATTCACCAACCGTTCTTACGAACAAATTTGTTCTTAAATCCCACATACGCACTTTTTAACGAAGATTCTGACATTCACCAATGTTTTCTTATCTGAATTTGTTCTTAGCTAAGAATACAATCTACGCACACTGAAGACCATTCGTACGCACATTTGTTTAATGATAGTTTGTTCAAAATAATCGGTTATAGCAGTTTTGTTCATTCTACAGTTCATAAAATGATAGTATTTGAATAATTTATAAAAGTAAAATACAAAAAATAATTTTAAAGTGTAAAAATTATTTTCGTGGTAGTAACGGATTATAAATAGGTCTGTTTATGCCTATTGGCCTTGCTATCAAAATAGCATTTCTGTTACTTCTTGAAGAGCTTGCCAATCATGCTTTGAGAAGGGAACGCATGTTTGAAGATCATTTAGATTTATTTGGCACACAGCGTTCACAGAGAATGTGATATTTTTCCATGTATCAGCTTTCTTGGGGGCTTTATATCCACTGGTTACGCTACTAAATAACGTGTCTATTTGCATTTACCTTAAAAACCAGGTATAACGGACTTCAAGGGACCTGGAAAAACAGTCCTTTATATCCAGAGTTTCTGTATGCCCAGAACACAACTACAGGACACCATTTAATTACTCATGCCACACCCCAGCAGACACACTTGTGGTATAGATTATTATATTGTACATGTAGTAATCCAACTTTACCTGAGCAGATGCGTGACTATTAATAATCCTGACTACGTATCTGCGCTGGATATCACTGGCACACCACGCACCTTGTAGGCGGAGCTGCATGTCCGTTACAGCCGAACAAAACTACCGCTAAAAGCGGCCCTGGGGACCAAATTGTCTGTCCTTTATAAACGAAATTCCGTTATATGCGAGTCCACTATATCCGATGCTTTTTCTGCATGTTCTTAAAGGCGCACGGCCTGGACCAGCGGACCTCGTCCGTTATAGACGATATTCCGTTATAAGCGAGTTCACTATAACGGGATTTTACTGTATTAATACTTCTACTTCAGCATTACTGAAGTTTTTTTCCTCTTAGTGCCAAGCGGCTCAGCCTGTGCGTCTCTTCGCCATTCCTTGCACACGGCCCTACAGTCTCATGCCCTTTTATGGGAAATTGCAGGGCATTTCCCTATGCTAATTAGGACAAACTGGCACGCGCTTTCAGTTACGAAGGTGTGGGATTCACCATTCTTAAGAACAAAGGTGCAAACAATTCTGCTACTTAAGAACACGTCATGAATCCGACGTAGGTTGTTCTTAACAAATTTCACAGGAACAAATTTGAGAATTCTTAAGAAAATATTGGTGAATGAGGCCCATTGTTTTCTCATTATGTTTCCTAATGGCAGCATGTAGAGAGAAAAAAATAAAGGACCAAGCACTGATCCCTGTGGTACTCCACATTTGACCTGTGACATTGACGATGGAGTAAAATTATTCCACACTTGAACATATTGATATTGATTAGTCATATATGATTTAAACCACTTTAACACTGTTCCACACAACCCAACCTCAAATTTAAGTCTTTGAAATAGGATAGAATGGTCAACCAAAAGCAGGTCCAGAAGCATTAGCAGAGTCACGCTGTCAGCATCAGTTGCCATTGTTATGTCATTTACTACTTTAGTCAAGGCAGCTTCAGTGCTGTGTCCCGAGCAGAAGCCCACTGGAAACAATCCAGTATATTGTGTCTCTCCAAGTATGAGTGAAGTTGAGCAGCAACTATCTTCTCCAGAACTTTTCACAAAAATCGTACATTAGAGAGAGGTCTGTAATTGCTGAACTCCTGTGGATCCAAACTTTGCTTCTTCAGTATGTGTGATCAAATTATCTTTAATCTTGTAAGATGTCTGCCTGAACAGTGAACGTGCAGAGCAGGGGATCAGGTGGTAGCTTTATTATCCCGCTGATCCTCCTCCCCTCCCCCTATATACAGAGGCCATGTCAGGATGGTCCCAGCCCATGATGAACAGCCACGTGCTGCATCAGCAGCTGCCCGAGCCCTCAGCCTTCTCCCAGCACCAGCCCATGGAGCAGGATGATACAGGCATTGTGGCTCCCTCCAACACCTTCCACCCAGCCATGTCCAGCAGCTTCATGGACTTCCCCAAGGTGACCGAGATGGCTGGCTGCTTCAGCAGGCTCCCTTCATCTGAGAGATCAGCTCAATGACTATAAAGCTTTGCTATTCAAACACACTGTGTCTGATATGTGTATCAAGTGCTAAATAATTGTAATTAAGGGTTTTATTCAGTAGAAATAGCCAGTGAAAATGAACTCCTCTGACAGCCCATCTGTTTGTTTACAAAACTGTCAGATTTGTGTTGCAGAACAGAAGAACCGTCCCAAATATGGTCAAAGCCTTTAAATCTAGATTTATGTAGGCCTACTCATCCGGAGGTGTCGGGCCTGAAGTTGTCTGGCAAACTTCGAGCACTAATGTGCCATGAAGTTCCCTGTTTGTTTGACTACGTTGTAGCAGAAGTATGATTGAAGATAACCTACAGGCGTGGTGAAGCCTCAACACTGGGTGAGGGTTTGAGGGGGTGTGTTGTCTTTGCAGGGAGTGTCGATGTACGGGGGGACGATGATGTCTCCACACCCCCCCATGGCCGAGGGCCTAGGGACCCCCATTTTCAATGGACTCCATACTGCCGACCCTGCCTGGAATCCCATTCTTAAGGTCGTCCCCAACACCGCAGAGAACTCAGACCCCCAACAGGTAATGATTCACTCAGCTGACTGATCACAGGTACCTGGTGTAAGTAATCTGTGAGTTCCATCTTATCCTCAAACAGTAAAAAATATTTAGCAGAGAAAACAATAGTGGTGCCATGCAAAAGTGTCCCATCTTGTACACACACGATCATTTTATAATTTTAAATGTCGGGGCAATGTGACATTGTAAATTTGTCATCAAGCAGTGATGGTTCTGTAGCTGAAATGTACCTCCATTCCAGGTCTGGCCTGGTACTTGGGCCCCGCACGTTGGAAATGTACATCTGAATCACGTCAACTAGCAAACACAGCAGTCCAGGCACTCAACCAGTAAGAAGATCCATGGATTTTTAAAGGATGAGAAAATCACAATGCTAAAGATGTTAACCAAGCAGTGTCCCAAAAGAATAGAGGATGGGGACACCATTTTGATGTGCCTAATTCAGTGTGGGCTGTTACTTGTTTACCAGTCTGTGAACAAACCGATTGCCTGTTCAACAGGACACGTCCTCTGCGTAGTATAGCCATTTTGACTTTAAAACCCTCAAACTGTTCTTGGTCTGCAGGGCTCAACAAGACTGTAAGCTATTTATACTCAGACAAGAACTAGATGATTACATAAAAGATAAATGAATCAGACCTTTTAGATTGGTAAATACATGTATAATTGTTTACATACTAAAAAGGGTTAAAATGAGAGTAAATTTCATGTCGTATAGTGGCTCTACTTTATGTAGCCTGTATTAATGTGAAATATTTACCTTAATATTCAATAAAAAGATGGAACTGTACCTGTGTAAGCGTTTGTGTTTTGTTCAGTTTCTGACGGGATTAATCCATGTAAAAGGCACTGTCAAAACTGCCCACTTCTGTCGCCCCCTACTGTCTGGACTGTTGACGGCAGTATGTCACGAATAAAGAGCTTTAGCCAGCAGGTGGCGTGTTTCTGCCAGCAGGGCCACATGAGCTTTTTTCAAAACCGTATACTGTTTACACCGTACTGCGTATCATAACCAGTATATACTGTATATTGCGTGCTGTTAGTCAATATTACCAGTATGCCAGCTTTTTCATACGAGTTCCGTAGCTTGCTGCGTTTTAAATCTTTAATGACCACTTCCTACAGACAATTAAGGCATCATTTATCAATAGTGTTTTTCAGCCAGTGTGCTGCAATAACTTGTTAAATGTACCGTAGAAAATTAGCCTTTGTAGAATTTGATAATTACAAATAAAATAATAAACGGTTGGCTTACCTAAAGCCCTGCTATTAAGCCCTGCGTGTGTTGAAAGGACCGGTATATTGAGATGTGTAGTCATTTACATGACGGAATACAATTACAAAGGGAATTGGGGCAAACGACCATACATACACAAATTGCAAAACAATGTAATACTTTAATAAATTACAAATCGTAAGTAGGCTATACATTAACCAATAAAATAATCACAATGACAGTCAACATGTAGTTCATACTTTTGCAGGTTGTAATTAATGAGTAGTATTTGGGGTTAAATCCCAACACCCATGTCCTGTGCGTATTTTTAAACTAAACATTTTTCTATATTTACAGTAAAAAGTTAATTACTCTAAATGGGTATGACGCCGTACGAATTGGGATAGCTGTTTGGTTTAACAGAGCTCAAAGTATCTGTTTATTCTTACTTGTCATGTTTGTCAGGTACTAAAAACGCAGAACGATGTCATACTTATCTTTACACCTCCTGAACAAACGGAGTGTCATGGGACTCGCAAGTCTGCGGGGCCCCCCTTGTCAGTACGTAGATACACATGGCGTGGATTGAAGAATGCCGCGTAGCGCAGGGGAGCTGCTTCACGCATGCGCCTTGCGCACACGTCACGGCCCCCGACAGGCTTGCATTGCAACACAGCGGAACATCACATGATTGGAGTCACGTACTTTTTTGTTGTTTTCCGCCCGGACCGCAGTTTGCAAATAAACGTGCACATGGTTTGCAGCTTGCAGTCGTTCTTCTACTTCGGCTGTGCGCCTACTGGATGACCTCGGAATTAATCCCAACCTGCAAACCTTTCTTTAAATTTATTCTATAAACAGTACTTCTATACGTCAAATCACTCTAATTCTGCTGGGGCTTTAATACAGTTTTCCCGATCTTTGTAAAAGTTCTTTTTTTTGCCGACCTACTGCTGAATTACGAGTTAACTACAAACAAGTTTGTATTGAAGAGTAAAACACTCAGCACGATGTCTAACAGCTGCAACCAAACGAAAAGCTGCCCGATCCCCACCCGCATCATGCAGTTGAAAGACTGGACGCAGCTGCCCGACTGCTACAGTCAGACTCCCGGAGGCACTCTCTTTTCTACCACCCCCGGAGGTAAGGCTTGGGCGCCTGTTGGTGCGTTTCGCCCTTCGAACGAGGTTTTCCTAAGAGTGTGGATCGCTTCGATTCATATTTCTATTGCAACTTGCAGACCTGCAATGCAACTGGGCAGTTACTAGAGCTACAACGAGCGCACGGTTGAGGCGGATAAAAATCCATATATTTCCTGAGAAAAGAGCCGGGAAAATACCGGAGTACTGAGTATTTTTCTTGCAATATAAAAAAAAATGTAAGGCTACCAGAGAGAGGTGGTGAGTTTGGAAGCTAAATAAATCAAGTACCCATGAACAGGGCTGGACTGTGATTAAAAATCAGCCTTGGACTTTTTTGTTGACGGAGTCTCCACAGTAAAATTTTCCGGCCCACGACCCCATGGCCAGTCCACTTCTGCCCGTTAATAATGTTCTTCACGTTATTCACTCGGTGAAAATCTGGGTTGACTGTTTCGGTAGGGGAGCTAGCTGGTGTACTTTTAGACCCGATGTGGCTAAATCAGCGTTGTTTGGTGCATGCTGGCATACTGCAGTATTTCCTTTAGCAGCCTATGTCCTCGTTTTGGGTACGGCTGCTGTTCTACTGGAGATTTTGTGGTGGTGGTCTGCACGATGCACGCTTAAATATCCAGGATCCTGCTTCCTGCTGAGTTCGCAAGTCTCTTCTCTCGCAGCTGTGCGTCCGCTCAGTTTTAGTTTTTCTTTGTTTAAACGTAATACCTGTAGTTGGTACGCATTGCGTTTAATCTAAATGTTTCACGTGTGGTTTAGTCACTATAATATTTAATGGATGATATTAACCGTACTCTGATATTGCTTTTTTTTTCTCGGGGTAAGACCTTTAACTAGTCCACTTGTGCAATTGTTTGTTGTATGTTATGAAGCGTGTCGACGGTGCCCTCTAACGGTGAACCGCGGTGTTGGACTTTTTCACCCTTGATTACGCCGCCCATTGCTGGCCGCGTGGTCTGCTGATTGACCAAATTTATCGTCCTTATAGCAAGTAATATCAAGACAATGGGCAACATGCCGATGGGTTTTAAAAGTTGTGTATTTTGTAGCATACTTTTGAGTGGCTCCAGGGAGTATTTGGTCAAGTCTGTTGGAAGGTATAGGACTTTCCTGATAGAACATGTGAAGATAAGAATTTATTCTACAGCAACCAGATAGAAATTGCAATAGCCGTTGCCCTGAAAGTTAATAAGTGCATAGTGAAAGTGGTACAGTGTATAAGGTATTAATTTAGTTTTGGAGGAGCTTTTCTGTGATGGATCGAAAGTTGGGTTGGTGTTCTGCGACCTGTTCCAGGTTGACATGGAAGCTTGTATCACTGACCTATCCAGTAGCAGTTATTACAAAGCAGTGTCTCTATGGCAGATGAGGCTGTGGTTGAAGGAGCTGTTCAATCACACAGGCTGTTGAGAGGAGGGGCATTATTGGTCAAAGGGGAGTAAACTTTGGAGACCGTTCTGGCATCCAGCACTTTTTTAGATTCAGTCCTGTTGCAGAGCTAGCTTTCCTCAAAGGTTTCAAGCTGCCTTCACCTCGATATTACCCCTGCCCCCCAGCAAAGGGAATGACTGCCTGTGACACGATGGTCAAACATAGAGCAGTGTGAGGCGTGGAGGGAGGGAAGGATGGGTGCCGTAGCATTTTTGTATTGCTCCATGAGCGATGACCATGTGCTCTCTGGCTGTGTGCTGGGTGGCTTGGAATGTGTCCAGGGGGCCAGACTAGGAGGGTGGGGCCGTTTGGCTGCGCTGGAGGAATAGCTGAGAACATTCTGTTCTGGCAGAGTGGGAGTAAGAGAACCATTTCTAGGAATAAAATAAGTCCAAGGCCGGTGCAGTTGGGGAATGGACGGCACCTTCTCTAGCTGTGCGGGCGCAGGTCTGCTAGAGTTTCTGTGTACAGGGAGATGCTCATACCAGAATACATTTTGGTGATATCTGATACTCTGGTGTAGAGACCTAATCCGTCCCGCTCCCACAAGATTCTGTCCCGCTCCCACAAAAAAAATATAATTTCTCCTGCTCCTGCCCGCAGTATTCAAGTTTTGTCCCGCTCCCGTCCGAAAATCCCGCAGGTAAACATACAAGTAGTTTTATTTTTACCCCTTCTTCCCACTACTCTGTTATTTGTTTCACTTGCTTCCCTTTTGAACATATATAAAATAGAAACGGAAAACAAACAAATACGTTTAGTTTTATTTGAGTTTAATTAAATGGAATGATGAACATGGACACGAACGAGGAGCTTTTCAGAACATGCCATCCCGTCCAAGCACCAGGCTGATTCCTTCTTGGGGTGTCCGGTTACGTCCCCCGGCACTCAGAGCGTGGCAATTGTAGTTTCTGTAGACGATTTGCCTGTAAATTGATATCATTTTAATTTAGTCGTTCTTGTTGCTTTTGTGCAGTAGAAAAATAATAGAGTATTTGTTTTTAATAAATTCATTTTAAGAATTCCATTTTGCGGGAGTCCCGCGATTAATTCTGTTCTCCCGCAACCCGCACATACATGAGGACCTTACCGCCCGCACCCGCATTCACCCATCAAATTTTGTCCCGTACCGCACTCGGTGCGTTGGGTCCTGTGGGTCCCGCAGTAGTCCCGCGGGAGTGCAGGTCTCTACTCTGGTGCGGTGGCACCAGAGTTGTCTGGGTGTGGATCATACACACATCCTTATGGTCGGTGACATTCATAATGTGTAATATTGCGGAGGCTTCAGTGACAGACTATGTGCTCTCTTTAGGATGTGGTTTTGTAAATTTCCCCGCCCCCACCTCAGTCTGACTTGCAGGCAAAACAAAGGTTGTAGCTGAAATTTGTAAATGTGAGTATTTCTGAGTCACAGAGCTGATCCCTGCCTCCCGTCATGTCCTGTGGCTGTCCCACCCATAAACCATCCTGCTGTCCCAGAGTCTGGGCTTCTTTCAGTCCGAGGGAGATCTGGCAGCACTGGGTGCTGTGCCTGCTTATTGCCACTGCCCATCCAGCCCTGCCCATTGCTCTCTTTTTGTTCCAGATGCACCGTACAGCTATATTACATAATCCCACCCTTGCTGGAAGCCTGGCTTGACTGTTCAAAGTCCAAGTTAGAGCATTGGATGGATCCGGTTCTACAGCTTATCAGGCTGTAGCTTATTGCCCTGTTTGCTTGTATTTGTTTCTGTCAGTTTCACTGAACTGATTCAATACCCCCCCCCCCCCATGTGTTTTTTGCCTCTGACCACAAAGCAGTGTTGAGGTGGGGGCAGGGGACAGAGGACAAACAGAAGTGAGCTCTGCTTTGCTGTTGTCACACACAAACAGTCATAAATACATCCCACTCCCCCCCAAAGTGGGAGGCTTCTGCCCAAAAAGGAAACGTGACAGCCGCAGTTCTGTGTGACCGGTGGCTCGGACTCATTCGCGCTGCTGCATGCAGCAGAGAGCTGAGTGTGAGGTGTCCTGCTCAGCTGAGGCCACCTGTGTTTCAGGGACACGGATCATCTATGACAGAAAGTTCCTGCTGGACTGCCGCAACTCGCCCATCGCCCGCACCCCACCCTGCTGCCTCCCCCAGATCCCTGGGGTCACGGTGTCCACGTTGAACCCCATGGGCAAGCTACAGGAGCTCAAAGAGGAGCTGGAGGAGGAGGCCAAGGACCTGGCAGGTGAGGCACGGAGATCACGTAAGGGAGCAGGAGATTACATGCCTCAGAGCCGGTGTGCTGATGTTTATGACCTCCATCTTCCCTGTGTCCCAGTTGGTAAAAGTTGCTGAATATCTTTTGGGTCAGTAATGGATCCCACCTCCCATGGGTCTCAAAGCCTAGACCTTTCCAACACAGAGGCTAAGAATGACCCCTCCCACCATTTCTTTTCAGCTGATGATGACCAGTTCGAGATGGATATCTGAGCCCCTCCCATGGAGAAAGCCTCTTCTGTTCTCGCGGTCCATCACTGGATCAGCTGCTATTTCTTATTTTTTTGTTAAATCTTACATTTTTCTATTTCCCCCTCCCCAAAATGCAGGGAGCTCACCCTCATGGTTAAAGGCAGCAGCCTGTTATATTATGTTAAGAACAGTGTGCTATCTGATTTCAGACAGGGTTCAGGAACAGCTCAGGGCTGCTGAGGGGGGCTGCTGGCTCCTTGGGCTTTCTTGGCGCAGTTACGATGCGCTCTTTTGTACTTTTTTTTTTCTTGTTCTTTTTAAGGAAAAGCCAGGCTAAATGTATGACAATTTACATTTAAACATGAGTGATCCCAGATTAGCCTCATTTTTGTTGGGTTTGTTTTTTATTTTTGAAATATAGCTAGACTTCCTCTTTCATGTTGACTGATGGAGGTCAGCTGATGCTGTGAGTTAACTCTGTGAGCAGTTAACTCTCCTGTACTGAGTGGAGCAGGTCAAGAGTAAACAGACTTCAAAATAAAGCCAAATGTACATACACATGTGTTGTCCTTCTCAAAGGAGTGGAAGTACCTCTGTTTGCGGTCTTGGAAGTTGTGCTATTGATATGAGTGGGACTTCATGCATCACCTTTATCTGAACCTACAAATTCACAAAACACTGTGTTCAGACGGAGGCTTTAAGACCACTGATTACATTGTGGGTGATATATTTCATATTCTATCCCTTTCACACACACACACACACTCAGCCCGGTGTATGAATCTGCTGATGACTCCCAGGTACTCAGACTCCCTCTGCCCGGTTCTGTACCTGTACTTGGTTGAGTACCAGCAGGCCGTGCAAACCATCGCTTCGTGCCCCCAAGTAAGGAAGCAGTCTTGCTGAGTGCCTGGTCCCTGTTCTTTCTAAGATTACTTCCTAAATAATGACTCTTCAGGAACACTGAGGTGAGTGTACATTCCGCTGAGTTGAAATCATGCCCCACTTTGGCAGAGTCTCATGCTGGTGTGTGAGGTTCTCCTATGTGCCATTAGTGAGAGAGTCCTTGAGGTAGGATCTTTGGCTCTGGCTTTTCATGCTCACCACTTCCTTTCTAATTTGATCTCTCATTTGGGGGAAAGAGCATGTCCACCAGGCAGCTGAATAAACGTTAGACATGTAATAAGAAACAAACCTGGTCATTTATGTATGACCATGTGGAATGAAAAAACCACAATATAGGATGAAAAAAACACTATAAGGTGCTGATGTCATGCTTGGGCTTGGGCTGTCAGGAGCTGCTACTTTGTAGAATCTCTTCTTTAACAACTTGTGAAATTGTTTTTCTTCTGATATAATTTTCGAAGGCCCACCGTGCTGCCAGTTGAGCCTGCTGCATATATGAGGAGGCTGCAGGTCAAGGGTGGGCACTGTAAACAAGCATGGTTTGCGGTTGGGGGGCAGTGACTCTGGTTGGCAAACGTGGTCTGATCTGGATCAAAGAGGAGCGGCCGTTTTCTCTCCCATGCCCTCTGACACGTGAGGCACGTGGAGGATGACTGTTGAAAGTACACACTCTGCTGTGGGGAAATGAGGAAGAAAATGTTATTGTTTCTTATGTCAAGAACTCATATAACCAGAGTACAGAAACTTGTGCTATAGCAGGCACTGCCAGAACAAATTCACAGGGGAGTTAAAAGCTGGCCCTCTGCCATGTGGCTGAGTAAACGTATGCTTTGTGCTTTTGTAGCTTTTTACTTAGAACTGAGGCCCAAGGCAAATGGTCTCACGTGATCCTGTCCTGTGATTTCGCAAGGGTTATTATATATTATTTTTTTTACCACAAAATATTATTAATCTATTCTCAGTCTTTTGAAGGGACATAAGAACATAAGAACTATACAAACGATAGGAGGCCGTTCGGCCCATCGAGCTGGGTTTGCACGAGGGGGCTGGGTTTGGGCTGGATGTGTTGCAGCTGGTTAGTGCAGCCTGGTGTGCTTGAGTCAGTTATGCACTCCGCAGGAGATGATGATGATGATAATGATGGCGGCTCTCATCCCCTCTCTCAAGCTGCTGGTGTGGCCTCCTGTCATGATCAAAGATTCCAGTAAACATGCCGTCTCTGCTGGGACCTCAGACTGGCAGGCGGGCTGAAGGCAGTTTCTGAGGTGTTCTGGCGAGGACTTGGCAGAATGTGGGAAACACCCCCCATGTATCTCACTTCTTGAGGTTGTTACCTTTACGCTGGAAGCTGAGAAACTGTCCTACAGAAACTGATGGGGAACTTTTATCAGGGGCCAAACAGACCCCAAGGGTCACAAGGTGTGTGGGGGAAGCACAGCTGTCTTGGGTCTTGTACATACAAGCCTCTCCAATTACTCAGCTGTCATGTGCAGTGTATCTGATATGAAATTTTGCTAACAGTTAACCAATGCTAAGACATCCTGAAATATAAAATGCAATCTTGTGTCTCAAACAAACAGCTCACTTAATCTTTTGACACGCAAAAATAATCCTTCCTGCTCAACCTTTGCCCACCGCTGCCTCGTGCCTGTTTTCCACCTCTGCCGCCCAGTGATGTTGATCGCCCTGACTAGAGCAGCGGCGTCAGGACGACCACATAAACAGCACCACTGATACGGGGCAAGTCTGGTCACATACATCATGTGAATGACAGCTGGGGAGTGCAGGTTACCACACCACGTGCTGGCATGAGGCGCAAGTGGGGTTGGGGGGGGCGTGAGCACGCCCATCAGACCCCAGACTTCTGATTGGTGGAAAGCTCCCTCAGCTGCTCCTCCCCTTTTCTCTTCCCTCTTCTCCTTGAGCCAAAGGGCAAACATTCCCAAATCATAAAAAGATGGGCGGTCCATACGGGAGTGCTGTCTGAACTGCACACAGACTACACCAACTCCAGGAAAGGGATTTTATATATATCCCCATCTTATTCTCCGTGGAAGGTCACAGCTGTCATATTTATCAAAGAAAATAAGCCAGGCAGCACATTTCAGTATTGGCAGGAATGTACATAACTGGTATGTGAGTACGCATTCACCTTTAAAAGTGATATGTGCAGCAATAGATTATAACAGTACAAATGCATACTTATGTGCATTTGCACTGATTTCACAATTATTGTGCATTTGAACATTTATATGCTAATTTGCACTTCATTTGCAGTATAAAGGCTAAAATGCACAGTAATTTCTTGTCATAGCAGCACAAATACATATGTATTTTATGTTAATTTGCGCTGTGACAACAATCATTTGCTGCATGTATCGCTTTTAAAGGTGAATGCGTACTTGCATATCAATAATGTGCATGCCTGGTTACAGACAGATCACATAGACACTGTTGCAGGCTGCTCTTCACTCTGCTCAGCCAGAAGTACCCTGGGATGATGATGTGTACTAAGCGTATTGTCTGCTCACCGCCATACCCATCTGCCTCCTGCCATGCACCGATTTTATTGACAAAGCCGTTGGTGGATGTTTTTAATAAGGTACCTCCCCATAAAGTTTTGGAATGTTTATCAAACTTTAATATAAAGAATCTTATGTAAATTCTGTTTTTGTTTATCTATTTCCTGTTTAAAATTTCTTGTTGTAAATTATTTATTTGTTTTACCTTTTTGCCATGATAAAGCCATTGTTGCTGATTTGGCATTAAACTTAAGC